GCGCAAAAAACTTGTTTTTCCCCCCCCCCCCCCCCCCCGGCTTTGTAGGGATGGGAGGTCAATGGTCTAGCGGATTACGGCACGGCATGCAGGATTAAGAGCACCCCCCCCCCCCCCCCTCCACCCAATCGCCTCTTTTTGTGTTGTTTTGGTTGAAGGTGTTGGCGGCCTTCACGTCGGCGTTCCATGCCCTGCAGCCGGCGGTTTGCCCCGGCTTCGCCTTTTCGTGGCTGGAGCTCGTGTCGCACCGCTCCTTCATGCCCAAGCTGCTGCTGGTGAAGCAGAACAAGGGGTGGTCGTACATGCACAGGCTGCTGATCGACCTGCTCATCTTCATGGAGCCCCACCTGCGCAGGTGCGTTCGTTTCGTCACCCCTCCCCAAAAACAGCCGATCATCGCCACAAAAAGGCCAGTTTTAGAGGGGAGCAGACAGCAAAGGTATTTTCTACGATCCGTGCGTAACGCTTCGTAGATACAAATATGATTTTTGCCAAACCCCGGATCGTCGTTGTAATCTCTATCGATTTTCGCGCTGATATCGATTTTTTTTCAGGCCCACGCTGCTCGAGTCGGTGCGGCTGCTGTACCAGGGCATGCTCCGCACGCTGCTTGTGCTGCTGCACGACTTCCCGGAGTTCCTGTCGGACTACCACCTGAGCTTCTGCGACGTGATCCCGGCGGCGTGCATCCAGCTTCGGAACCTGATTCTCGCGGCCTTCCCCCGCAGCATGCGCCTGCCAGACCCCTTCACGCCCAACCTGAAGGTACAGCAGTCGTTCCCCGGTTTAAGGACACGTCTTAAATCAACTCCCCGGTTTAAGGACAAATATAAATCTCAGAAGCAGGGTGCCCCACAGATATACAATGTAGCGAGGGGGTGGGGGTACCGGTCCAAAGGCCACTTCCCTGCGTTAAGGACACTTTAAACAACAAAAACCATGGGTGTTTTTTATGCGGGGTCGACTGCTGTGCTGGGATAGGAGAGATCTTCTGCCGGCTGCCTGGTAGCCTGGTACCGTGCTTGATATCGATCGTACGTATGTCATGTCGCCTGTTACCGGTGCTGTTGCTGCTGTTCATGCCTCCACGGCTGCCGGTGTTAATTCAACAGTTTTTCTTCTTGTTATTTTGATGTCAATGTGAAGTTGATTTTCTGTTTCTTTTTTTTTCTTCCCTCCCTTTCTAGGTGGACCTCCTGCCGGAGATCGCCTTGCCCCCGAGGATCCTGAGCAACTACGTGGCGGCGCTGTCGCACAACAACATCAAGCAGGACCTCGACAAGTTCCTGCAGACTCGCCACCAGCCGGCCAACTTCCTCACGGAGCTGCCGGCGAAGCTTCGGCTGTCGGCACAAGAGGTGCGTGCGTGCGTGCGTGCGCTTTTCTCGCCCTCACACCTCGCGTCGGCGGATGCATGCCGAGCAGGAGCAGCATAGATCGGTTTACGATTCACACGCGTGCTATTTGTGGCTGGGGTTGTTTACGCGTGTGTGGTGTAATGCGTTTCGTGTCCCAAGCGAGCTTCGTAGTGCAGAGTTTTTTGTTGAGTGGTCGCCGGTCGGGGTGGTGGTCGTGGTGGGTACTCATAGTCGTGCATGCCGTAGTCGTTAGACCGTTGACCTCGCATCCCTACAAAGCCGGGACGGAGCACACCGGGTTCTCACCGGACCCGGTTCTCACATCACCAAGCGCGAAGCACCGTGAGCGGGGGGGGGGGGGGGAGTTGCGCCAAGTTGTACCCGCGGAGAGAAGAGTGAGGTAGCTGCCATCCGCCAGGTAGCGGCGTGCACGCCGACGGCGCGAGGCTTTTGACACGGTGCTGGCCACGGCACCGATCCCCGCACTCGCCCATTTACCTACCTCCGACCCGGTGGAGTTTTGTGGCTCCGTATCCCTTCCTTGCTGACACCTCTCGTGTGTGTATTGCATGCGTACGTGCGCTCTCGTTGCGTGCCGTGTTTTTTTGTTGACTGCTGTGTTTTGTCAGGCGGCGCACACGGGCATGACGTACAACGTGCCGTGCATGAACTCCCTCGTCGTGTACGTCGGGAGCCAGGCTATCCAGCAGCTCAACAACAAGACCCCCATCATCACGCACTCTGCTCCGATGGACGTTTTCCACCAGGTGTGCTATGTACTGCTGTGATGCCTTTGTGTTTTCGCTAGCTCCTGCTGTAGCCGCGTTGACCGCAAGTCAAAGTGCGGCGGTGAGAGCGGGACTTGGCGTAACGTTTGGGTGTGGTTGAGGTGGGAGACAAGGACCCTCGCGTGAGTGTGTCCCCTGAAGGTGGTTGAGGTGGTGTTTGTTCGACGATGTTGTTGTTGAGGTGGTGTTTGTTCGACGATGTTGTTGTTGAGGTGGTGTTTGTTCGACGATGTTGTTGTTGAGGTGGTGTTTGTTCGACGATGTTGTTGTTGAGGTGGTGTTTGTTCGACGATGTTGTTGTTGAGGTGGTGTTTGTTCGACGATGTTGTTGTTGAGGTGGTGTTCGTTCGACGATGTTGTTGTTGAGGTGGTGGTTGTTCGACGATGTTGTTGTTGAGGTGGTGTTCGTGTGTGTGTCCTTCTTTCTCTCGTGCTCTGAGTTGAGTTGGAGTACCCGCCAGCCGCCTGTTTTGGCTAAGAAGACCGTTGTTCCTCTCGCCGCGTCTTGAGCGTGGTGTAATA